GTTAACAAGAAGGCAGTATTACAAACAGACAAAAAAAAAAAAAAAAAAAAAAAAAAAAAAAAAAAAAAAAAAAAGGAAGGAAGAAGACTTTGTCTAATTCTCAATATCTTTTCCCCAGGTGATTTCAGCCACTGCACCCAATTACAAGATTTTCCCCCTTCTCAATGCGTCAATAAGATAATAATTGTAGGACTAGAATAAGATGATTGTTACTGTAACTCCAAGAACTTCATGTCTTTAACATCAATAAAAATACTTGTAAAAACACCTCCGCAGTTGTATACCAAACTGTATTGCTAGAGTGATTGTATTTTGCGCGTGAAAAATAGCACTAGCATAATCCAATAAACAGTACCAGACACTAATTCCATTGTTTTCTTTTTTTACTTTAATTTGACTTTTACTCACTAATTATACAACTTTTTTACTGTCTGTGCAAGTAAAATCCCCTTAAATATGGGTAGCATGGGTGGCGATCGCGGCTAACGCGTCGTCTTTCACCGCTGTGAGTCCAACGGATCGGGTCGTTGGTTCGAGCCCTGCGGTCGGCACATTGAATTTGTTTGATGTGTTGTTCTCTCCTATGCTACGAGGGTTTTCTCCGGATTCTCCGGTTTCCTCTCTCCGTAAAAAATCAACATGTGAGTTGAGCGTTGTGTGCATAGAATATTAAAAGTAGTGGTAGTGCGTGTGAGCCAAAAGTGTCCCCAATATGTGCGAAGGCGCTAGAACGACTAGACACTTAAATAAAGTGATTTTTTGTAATTGTATCTTACAAACTCAACGGAAAGTACTGGATATTTATTCACTGTTCTCGTAAGTAATGTATACATTTTTATTCAGCGTTATTTGCGTCATAAAAACTTAATCCACGAGCCAGAAAATTAGCATTGTATAACCATAGCAAAAAGTATGTTTTTCGACTGGAATTTGTTTTCATTTCCCGAACAAAATTTCGTATTTTTCTTGCTTTCGTATCATCGTTACTTTGAAATATTTACCTATAGAATTTATACATAATGATCGATTTATCTTTATTGAAAAGGAGCAAGATTTATCAGTCAACCACAAGTGTACTTTAAAGTGTGAGTTGTATGGGAAATTATGTTCAATAATATGATTGATTGTTGATGTCTTTTCGTTTTTTTCTGTGGGCCTTGTAGCCATTAGCACGGCACTCTGAAGATCCCCCTCATACAGGGTTATATAGTGAAGACAGACGGGGCCTTCGGTTTTAAGTCCTTGTTCGAGAAGACTTGAAGGTCTAACCATTTGTAGATGTAATTACAAAGGCAGCACCTTCTCCTCAGTTACTTTAATACGCTGAGTGTTGGTCCGTCCAAGGCTTGAACAACGACCTCCCGCACAACAGACCGACGCTCTTACCAAATTATTCTTACCTAAGATRCTATTATACAAATAGCACATAGAGCTTCTGCACCATCTTGTGATGGCAGCCAAGTTGGAAGACAAGAACGTACGATCGTTTTACACGAGAAAGAATCCAATTTCTGAGAGGCGGGAAGGCTTTACATATACTATTATTTCAGTCTGGATGAACGATGGTAGAAGCAATTCCCTTCAGCGTACGTTAAACTTTAATAATTTTTAAAATAAAAGTGGGTGTTTTTGTAGCATTTAAAAARCCTTTTCCCTAAAGCATACTGATTATTTCTTTTTTACTCTAGCTGATGGCGAATTTAATTACCAGAAGAAAAAGAGGGCAGTTAAGATCAAATTAGAATACAAATATGTAATTCCTTAGTCCTCTCATTATTTCTATGTAAACTTTTCAGACAAGCAAATTGTTTGTAAGTTTAGTTTTTATCATAAAAGATTAAAAGATAAAATAAATAAGATGAAAATTCGAACAAATTTGAGCTATAGAAAATCCAATCATTGTAACCGCCAAGCTTAAGTCAACAATGATCACGTGTTCTATTGCCTATGAATAATTAACAACTATTAGTCTGTTCTAAACATCATATTGGCTTTTCTTTTATTATTATTTTATCATTGCAATAGCTTCAAAACATGTTTCGTTCTTTGGGTAAATAAAAGGAGAATGAAAGTCCAATCAAAGCTTTCGTTTGAATTCTAGAGATCCAAGTTGAGTGCTGGGTGTGTGGACGGACTGCATTCTTTCTATCGAAGTACACACGTCGCTATGAGACAGTGTCAACAGCTTTATGGAAGATATTTACAAAAAAATGTATCCGAAGGAAGCGTTGTGTCCCATCGAGTAACAAGCGAGTACCATGGTAATGTAGGTGTTGGTTTAAGAATGATGATTTCACAACGATAGGCCTTTAAATTTTAATTCAATTTTTTTGAGACTAAGAGACGAATTTTATTTATTACCTGACACGCAAACCACTTTCCACCGACCAGACAAATTGGCCTTGTAATTATATTTTACCTTCAAAAATATATAGACATGTAGAGCCTAGGGTTATTTATTAACAATATCTTGAACGTGGCTATTGAATATCTTATAGTTTAACCTACTACTAGGGCAGATTTTCTTTTCTCCCCCATGGAAAGAACACACTAGTTTACGTGCTCCTAGTACCTAGGTGACCTAGGTTTTTTCCGGCGCGCTGTCTTAAAATTAAACGTAAACGTTTATGCGAATAAAATGATTAACCTTAGAAAAGGAAAATGTAACTTGAAAATGAAATGTAACTTGTAAAAAATGGTTTTGTAGTTTTCATGGAATATTCATATTATATATTCTCCTCATCGTTTTACCGAGGTATTTCTCTATTATTTACATTTGTTTAAAAAAATTTCTACGCTTCTTACCCAATTCAAAGTCAAGGAAGTGTAATAAATTATCATCACTAACGCGTGTTTAAACACAAACAGAGTCTCGCCATATCGTCTTCTTCATAAAAAAATGTTTACGATAGTTACGATACGATCTGTATTTCTGTCGCGTACTGTTTGCAACATGTTCTATTTTCATCGACTCAAAGACTCCAGACTATGGATCACACGTTACCTGTTGACTATAAAAACCTCCATTTGTTGGGGGTTTCGTCACTTGAAGACAAGAACAACTGAATCCACTTGTCCAGTTCAGTAAATATCTCACAGGCTGAACATCCGATTCTAAAATGACAAAATCTCTGTTTCTTCTGAGTTTGGTGATGGTTGTCGGTAAGTGGTTGAAGTTTTCATTCTACTATAGATTATTTTCTTACACTGTAAGGAAGATTTTGTTATTTAGACCACTTGTCATTCCCTTGAGTATTGCTACTTTATTTTCACTCTACTAGACCACTTGTCATTCCCTTGAGTATTGCTACTTTATTTTCACTCNCACTTGTCATTCCCTTGAGTATTGCTACTTTATTTTCACTCTACTAGACCACTTGTCATTCCCTTGAGTATTGCTACTTTATTTTCACTCTACTACACCACTTGTCATTCCCTTGAGTATTGCTACTTTATTTTCACTCTACTACACCACTTGTTATTCCCTTGAGTATTGCTACTTTATTTTCATTTTGTAAATTTACAAGAGTTTTCAAATGGCAACAGGGTAACCAAGGGTAAGACAAGTTTTAGGGTACATTCAAACCATGTCTTACTGCTCATCCAATACCACAGGGAACCCGTAAACCGTAAGTTTTAGGGCACATCAAAAGCACCAGTCATTTSTTTCGTCTTAGTTGCCCAATAGCACAGGGAACCCATAATCAAATACATTGATGCTTTTCTTTCAGTCATGACCATGGCGGACGCTAATTCCTTCTGCAACCTTCCAGCGGTAGTAGGAAGGTGCAAAGGATACTTCCCGAGGTATTTTTACAACACAGAGGCAGGAAAGTGTCAGCGTTTCATCTATGGTGGATGCGGAGGAAACAGGAACAATTTTGAGACTGTGGAMGACTGTCGCGCAACTTGTCATCCTCGTGAAAAAAGGGCTCTTGCAGATATGACTATGGCGGACGCCAATTCCTTCTGCCAACTCCCAGCGGTAGTAGGAAGGTGCAGAGGACGCTTCCCAAGGTACTATTACAACACAGAGGCAGGAAAGTGTCAGCGTTTCATCTATGGTGGATGCRGAGGAAACAGGAACAATTTTGAGACTGTGGAAGACTGTCGCGCAACTTGTCATCCTCGTGAAAAAAGGGCTCTTGCAGATATGACCATGGCGGACGCCAATTCCTTCTGCCAACTCCCAGCGGTAGTAGGAAAGTGCAGAGGATACTTCCCGAGGTATTATTACAACACAGAGGCAGGAAAGTGTCAGCAGTTCATCTATGGTGGATGCGGAGGAAACAGGAACAATTTTGAGACTGTGGAAGACTGTCGCGCAACTTGTCATTCCCACGCGTAATGAGGTACGTTTAACCAAGAAAAAAGAAAGCAGAAAAAACAGAAGTAATTTTCAGATACACTACACTGTAACAACAAATACACACAAACAGCAACAGCAGCAGCAACAGCAACGACAACAACAACAGCAGCAGCAGCAACAACAGCAGCAGCAGCAGCAGCGACAACAGCAGCAGCAACGACAACAGCAGCAACAGCAACAGCAACAGCAACAGCAGCACCTACAGCTAACTTAAGAGCAGCAACATCAACAGCAGCAGCACCTACAGCTACCTTAAAAGCATCAGCAGCAACATGCAGCAACAGCAACAGCAGCGCCTACAGCTAACTTAACAGCAGCAGCAACAACATCATTCACTACTCATAATTGTTACAGTTCAGTGATGCTTTTCTTTTCCTTATTTTTTAGGAACTTATTGTCAACAGTTTCACAAGATCAAGACTAAACGAGTAAACCAACGCTTAAGTTAAATTTCAATTGTTCAATAAATGATTCTCCTTAATTCCTTTACGTCAATGACTGTACAAGGTCGTAAGAATGAAAATTAAAAATAAACAGCAAAATGTCAAAAAAAATCAAGTCTTGGACTCATCTATACATGTATAAACAAACATGGGCATACAGAGGGATTCCTGGGCTGCCTGTATTCATTCACTCCTTTCCACTGGACATTAATGACCTGCTTGTTTTGTGGGAGAGAGGGAGGGAGAAAGGGAGAGACACAAGGAGGGAAGGAAGTAGGGAAGAAAGGAGAGAGAGAGCAAGAGGGAGGGAGGGAGGGAAAGAGGGAGGGAGAAAGGGAGAGACACAAGGAAGGAGGGAAGGAAGGAGAGAGAGAGAGAGGGAGAGAGAGAGAGAGCAAGAGAGAGAGAGAGAGAGCAAGCTGTTGGTGGGATAAGTGTTTTCCTCCAATTAAAACTTCCTGTCATATTTTTAAGTGACATGAATCATCAATTTTAAAAAGTCGTAAAGTTCTAGCCTCGCTAGCTTCAAAGCGTTTGCGCAACCTAAGGACCCCACTTTTTCAGCTTTTCTTCTCTATCCTAAACTTTTCATTATATATGTAAGTAAGTAGTCAGCCTTTATCTAAATACGGCGATCCATCCAGCTAAAACGCTGCTATCTAGTGTGCCCTATATAAATCAATAATAATATAAAGCAATAACAATGAAAATCTACTGCAATCCTTTTCCATATACGAGGTACAGGGAAAAGGTGGGTAGGTTGACATTGCATTGCATTTTGGGGCTGTTTTAGGGACATATTTCCAACAGACCCAAAATGCATTGCAATGTCGACTGGGCCCAATTCTTCTGTCATCGACAATCACTAAGAAATTCAAATTTCATTCTGATGCAATGATCGATGTATATGTGAATATATGTTTGTAAATGTCATATAATTTCCTTTCTTTTTCGTCTTCTTTCTTCAGTTTATACCTAAAAAGCCTGTATTGTTGTTGTTGTTAAATTACATTTAATGATTCATTCACTAGTTTATTCATTCATTTATTCTTTATTCAATCTTATTGCCTTAAATTTTTTCAATTCAGCTTAATCTCTTTGTGTGTGTGTGCGTTATTTTCTCTTGGCTTATCCCTTTGTTCCCCTTTTCTTGGTTTAGTTCACTGTTTTCGCTCCTTTTTTTCTTCTCAGTTCGCCCCCACAACCACAAATCCTTCGCGCTGTCATACGACATTTCAACACTTGATGCATGGAAGTGTGCATCTGAACTCTTAGTCAAGGAATATATCTCATCCAAGCAGCCACTGGCAGGTAAGCTAAACTTGCAAGAACAAAGAAAAAAAAAGATAACTTATAACCGGTCACGCCTCAATCCCATTGTTTTATGTAGGTTTTGAAACCCAGTACAAGACCTACATCCTTAAAGCCGGGGGAGGCATGACTTTTGATTATTAGCAGGGGAAAGCGGGGCTGACTTCAAAACCCGGGAAAGGTTTTGTATTTGAAATCTAACCTGTCCCGGGTTTTGAATTCAGCTACGCCGTTATCGCGAAACTGAAGTTAAAAAAAGCCCTAATAACCAAGGTTTCCTTAAATTATCCTTTCCTTGGTTATTGGGGAACCAAAGTAAAGGATCATATTGTAAAGGTAAACACATTTAAAATTTAATTCTTGATAAAAAGATCACTGACTATCTCTCTCGATCTCAACTTATGCTACCAGCAAACAGAAGAAGCCAGCGTTCAAACCCAACTGGAACCTTTATCAAAACAAGTCTAATGATTAGGATGTATAAGTGAAATTTAAGAAGTTAACGAACGACTATATTGGATGAATACGACACGGAGCCAGCCAACGGGCGAAGTTCTGCTATATTGATTGGTAAAAAGATTAAGTAAAATAACAAAATAGTCAAACAAATGATAAAATGTTTTAAAATTACTGATCGGAATCAAGGTTTATTTTCTACTGATTAATGAAAAACTTGACTTAGAGCTCTTCGACATTGGCGGCGCGCTGGAAGCTAGGAGCCTTACTTTCTAAGCTTCTTCATTTCTATGTTATGTCTTATTTCTTGAAAAGATAGTCAAAAAAAGAAAGAACCCCTATTTTGTTCCATGTCGAGACTGATCATGAGCAGCAATTGTTTCGCTTACACTGGCGGAGATACTGTATAGATTTGGCGGGAACTGGCGCGCGCGCTTGCTCAAGCTAAATTCCCAATCTCACGACCCCAGCGTGGGCCCCTTGCAACGCCACATGTCTGACATATATTTCATATTCTATCGYGTTTCGTAGATAATTTGAAGGAATAGAAAGAACAGATACTATTTCATCGTATGATAATATTGGGATTATTCAGTTATAAAATAGCTCGCACAACGTGATCTTTACTCAATTTAGCACTGAAGCAATCAAGAGTTGAAGTACCTCTCAAGAAATAGTCAAGTCCTTAAAGATGGCAAAGCAATTGATTTTTGTGTTGTTCTTGGCAATGGCTGTAGGTAAGTTCCGTTTCGGAAACGAAAGGACAGAGCGGGCCTTTTGCACAGCGAATAATACCATCATCAGTTCTAATTCCATCTATCGACTGCCTTATCAATAGCGCAGCGCACTGATTCTAAAAATAGCTTAAAGATTCGGACAAACATTGCATTCTGTTTAACCGCTACGAGGATTATACGAACCGATTTTATTATTTTTACTTAAAGTTACAATAATAACCCATGTAAACTAAGATCAACTGCGATCGGTTGTGAAAAKTATCTGTTGAAAGTAAACTTGTAAGTTTGTTTGTCCGAATTTCGCCTTTGTCTTCGTTTTTATGACGTCACGGTTGCCATTAACCATTAACCTTCCTCCCAGGAGTGGTGAACGTGTTAAATACTCTTTATTTTTTATATTATTTTTGATTGCAAGTTATTTCTTTACCTTAAGAAGGACAACAAGGTGCAGGTTTGTCCTTATTCTTGTTATTTTTTTCTTCTTCACAGGTATGACCATGGCAAGACCAGAGTTCTGCTTGCTTCCAGCAGAGACTGGCCGCTGCATGGGTTACTTCCCGAGGTACTATTACGACGAATCCATCGGTACGTGTCGTCAGTTTATCTTTGGTGGATGCCAGGGGAATGAAAACAATTTTGAGACCATGAAAGAGTGTGTTCGAAAATGCGCGCTTCTTTAGACAACAGGTACGTAATGCATCATGATACATACTATATTGGTAATTAGTGGAGAAAGAAAGAAAGAAAGAAAGAAAGAAAGAAAGAAAGAAAGA